TCCTTTCTGTCACAATTAGAAATAATGAGGATAAGTTATTGTGGGACGGAGGGAAATTCTCTTTTGAAAATGCTTGGAGCAGCAGCAGGTCTGGTTGTGAGGAAGTTCAATGGTTTCACTTGTGTTGGGATAAAGCAAGGCCTCAGTGGCCTACTACAGCAGTCTTTGTGATGCTGGACAGGTTACCTTCTATGTATAATCTGCAGAGAAGGAAGGTGTCTCTTGCCCCTAGATGCTCATTGTGCCAGTGCAGTAGTGATACTAGAGACCACCTTTTTGTCACCTGTCCTTTTGCTCAGGGTTTTTGGGCTTGGAATGGTGATGTGTTGGGGTGGGATATGGGATAATTTGGAGAGGTGTCCTCGGTTTGGGATCTGTTTCTATAGCTGAACCATCTCTATAGGAACTCCAGGGTTTTGAAAAGTTTGTTTGTGGCTGGGTTGTGGCACATTTGGTGAGAAAGGAATGCTAGACTTCATGATACTGCAACACTCACATGACACAGTGGCTAAGACCACTCTTATGGAAGTTCTTGAAGTCCAGAATGCTACACTCCAAGATATCATTGTATAGTTACTGGTTGTTTGGGTTTCTCTTGTATTGGAAATGGGCCTTCTCGTTATGTTGTTCCTAGGATATATCTTTGGCTTTTTGCTTGGTTTTCACTATCTGAGGGTATGCCCTCTGTGCACTTGTAATTGAATACCTTCAGTTTATACAATACAACACAATTTATGAGGGAAAAAAAAAAAAAGCTCTAGGAGAAATAGTCATAAACTATCGGTCAGACCGATCATCTTATTTTTAGTTTTTGTACCATTGTTTTTAATATTCTTGTGCTTCATTTATTTTATTTTATGAAATATAAATCATTTTCACGACTATATTCTGTTTTGTGATACTACTTTATTAGTTGTTGCTTCAATTTTATCAATCTGGTATCCACAGTGTGAAAACACTAGTACAATATTTAGATTTCATCAGTCATGCAACTTTTACATAGTCCCACTCACACTACAAATATTTAGGAGGGATAATTACACTGACTTCCCTGTAGAAAGATTTAATTACATTCACCTCCCCTTTGTTTTTAAAAATAACACTGACGTCCATAGTTAATAACGTCAGTCAAGTTTCTTTAATGGATTGTGCAAATTTACATTTTTATCAATGTCCTATATATGTACTATTTAATTAAAAAAAGCATGCTTTGTAAAGAAACAAATACAGCCTTACCCTTATTGATCAGAACTCAAACTTTTTACACTGTCAGACAAAAAATTATGGTCCGATCAACATGCTAAGTTAGAGAGAGAAGCCCTAATCTTTCTCTCCCTAAAACTCTCCTCTCTCATTAAAAATGGCTACATATGTATATATGCATAAGAATGTATGAATGATGCTATTAAAATTCCTTTTTTATTACTTCTCCGCTGCTCCATTCTCAACAATTTTTTTTTTTTTTTGAGTTAAAGTACACCGACCCCCCCTGAGGTTTGCCATAATGACAGCCATATATACAAGTTGAGCCTTTTTTGGACAAAGACACCCCCTTGTCAAAAAAATAAATCCAAACAAGCCCTTAATATTGTGAAAAGTCAATATTGCTCTTCAATAATTTTATTAATTTAAATTATAAAGTATCATAACTTTTAAATGACATTTCTGCCCTTAGTATATCACCCCCTTTCACTTCTGTACATACTAAACCAAGACACAACCACCACCACCACAAAAAACCCAACAAATGAACAAACCAGGAAACCCACAAACCAGAAAACCGACAGCAAACGAACAACCATCGCTTCTCAAACCCACCACCAAACCCGCAACAAACGAACAGTCATCGCCTCTCAAACCCACCACCAAACCCACGGCCTCTCCCTTAAACCCAGATTTTGCAAGGATTGAGCTTTCATCGGATCCAATTGAAGAATTTTCCTGAGATTGATGAAATCCAGTTCGAACGCACTGTCTTCGTTGTTAAGAAGTAAGCCTCTTGCTCTGAAGTCAATTTCGTTTATTGAAAGATCTATCTCAACTCCACATCCAAATCCCTAACCCTCTTTGCCCCTTAATCCCTCACTGTCGTTGCTGCCATCAACAGAATCCTCGGATCTGGCTGTTGAATTGAGTGGGAAATTCGAACGCATTAAATCAAGTGTCAACGTCGTTACTGAAGACGGAGACGAATGCGCGTGCTTCTTCAGATCCTTCTCGCTTGGAAGCAAAGGTTGTGGTGGTGTCGGTGTCGGCGCCACCTCTGCCGCGGCCACCGTCGAAGTCGTGCCCGGACAATTTGGGGGCATATAAATACATATATATACACACACATATATATATATGTTGAAGATTTGGGTGTTTGGAAGTGATGGCATGTATGTGTGTGTATATATATATATATATGTATATGTATGTATGTATATGTATGTATGTATGTTGAAGATTTGGGTTTTGAACAGCTAAGTGGTGGTGATGGTGGGTTAGAGCTTTCACGGCCGCAGAGGTTGATGAAGCTCCATGGGTGTACGTAATGGACGGTTTGGGAGAGAAGGAAAGAAATGGGTCTCATGTTTAACTATTTTTATAAATATTATATACAAGGTTAGAAAGGTAATTTCAACATTCAAATTGGTCCATATAAAAGCCAAAGGGAAACTATGTCAATTCATTACATGTCAAAGACCATAGAAGTGTCTTTGTAAACTTTATCAAACTTGAGGGGATGTCTTTGTCCAAAAAAGAATAAACTTGTATATGGTTGTCATTATGACAAACCTCAGGGGTATCGGTGTACTTTACCCTTTTTTATGATAAGTAAGAATAATATAGAAGGTACTTATCAAAAAAAAAAAGGAAGAATAATATAGAAGGTGTTCAACATGGGTACGCATCCCAAAAGCTACACAAGGGCCGAAGCCAAAGATAAAGTTCCTAAGGACTCAAAAAATCAACAAATTCCTCTATATATATACAATTTCTCCCCATCACCCAACAAAAAAGAGAACTAATAATATGAAATTTCAAAGTCCCGATGGAAGATTCCTCCCCGTCAAAAGATCTTCTATTCTGCTCCTTCCAACCATTCTCAACAATTCCAGTCACAAAAAATACGACTTTCTTGATTTTCCATTCATGGGAATTACTTCACACTGTTCCGTTGCTCACAAAATAAATAAATAAGTTGTCTTATTAATTCTGCAAAATGGGGGCCAAGATTTAACTTGATTCTGCAAATCTAATTTTGGGTTTTCTGATTTCTAACAACAAGCAGGTAATCATTTTTCATGAAGATAGAGGAGGAAAAGAGATTGGATCTTTGAGCAAAAGAACAGATAATCAGTATCAACGGAAAAAAGGTAACAATCGCAGCATAAATTTCACATGTTTGACATGTGTGTGTATCCATATGGATATATATATGGGAAGATATAAATATATATATATATATATATACATGCTTATATAATATGTAAATTGCATGTTGAGATATTTCTTGGGAAACTTATCAAAAAAAAAAAAAAAAAAAAAACCTCTGGGGAAAAAAAATTACATATGGAGAGAGGATGAACCGGTGAAGGTTGTGAGAGAAAGTTTGGTCAGAGATTGATTAAGTTCACCTTGAGACACTCCTTCCATGTTCGGGAAGTCCACCGAAGCATTAGAAACGTGCAATTCCATCACTGAAGGAACCCCTAAACCTTTGGTGTCACATGCAAATGCCTATCTATCATATATATAGCGTTGCATAATGTATTTATGTATATACATAATACGGTGAGAGTAAAGTGTGGATAGCTGGAAAATAAGAGCGAGAGAGGGAGTAGGATAGAGATAAAAGTCCGTCAATCCAAGTGAAATGGTTTTCGATCTAAAGATGGTAGTGAATTGGACAGTATATGGTGATGGCTTACTTCGAATGATAGAAGGTTTTGACTAGATTTGATTAAGGGCATTTTTTTCTACAAAATATCTTGCAATGGGTTATTTTAGTAATTTTATGTTACTTTATATGGATAATAAAGCCTTTCAAACACTGTAAAGGTAAAATTGGGTTACATCAGCAAACTCCATCATTGAACTACATCAGCAAACTCCATCATTATGACAGGGAATGTCAATGTTACAAAACTATAAATGACAAGGGAGGTCAATGTTATTTTTTGAACTACAGTGGCGCCTGTAATTAAGGCTTTATAGGGATGTCAGTGTAATTATCCCTATATCTTATGATCCAATCATCATGTTCCTCACACTTTTCATCTTAAATCTCCCATCACTATTTAATACATGGCTGCATCATTTTACATTCATGTATTAATTTGGACTTTGATGGTAAGATCCAAAAAATGGAGTTAACAGCAAGAGAGAATTCATAGCTTGATATGTGATTATATGAGCACATACAAGGTATAAGTTCTTCAATGTGAACTCTTAAATTTCCCTATTATGCTCTTCCAGGAGTCGAATACTTCTGCCCATCTAGTGAACTCACTGTGCCTTGTGCCAACTGTTCAACAATATATCAAGCCAACAAGACAAACAGAACGACAGAATGACATAGCAAATTAAATATTGCACATTTGTCGATGATTTTCTGATAAAATAAAGCAAGCATTAATTTTGACGATCTGTAATACGCAAACATAATAAGAACCCTAGCTTCAAGATCAGATTGGACCCACAGAACCTTTAGTTATAGTTTCACACCATATAAATGTGCAAACTTCAAAATGAGCAAACACAGTGCGACAGATTGGCGCAATTCACAGAACCCTAATCTGGGTATGACCCACCCACCTAAGAAAACCCTAATTTTAGAAAACCCAATAGCCTACAATAGGAAGAAAACACAAATTCAAGAACCATTACAACAAAAAAGCTTAAGAAACACCGAATCATCATAACTCAATCCAAAATTACAGCCGAAAAAAGAAAAAAAGAAAAATTCAATTGAAACAATGAAAATGCACTGAGAAATGTAGGGTTTTGAAGCTCACCGAGAACCCTTGATCCCTCTTCTGAGCCCATTGTTGCTGCACTGAAAAGAAGAGCTGGGTTTCTCAATTCCTAAAGCGATGAAGCTAGAGAGAGAGATGGTGGAGGGACAAGCTTAGAAAGAGTTGCTGAGAAAGAGAGAGAGCAGCGATGGGATTAGAAAAAAGGATGGTCCCTCGTAGAAACTGCAGTCAATAACAACTACTGTCAACACAGTTTCAATTTCTTTTTCTTTTTCTTTTTCTTTTTCTTTTTGTGTGTATGTAACTTACACTTCATAATATAGTAATTATTATCTGTTAAGATTATTTACAATTCATCTTTAAGAAATGAATATGTTATTTTATTACTGTAATTAAAAAAATTCAAGTGAAATACAAGTAAATAAAAATAGTTTCAAAATATTTTTTTGCACTATTATTTTTCTCTTTTTTATTTTATTTTGTGACCGAAGTTTCAATTAGTACATTTTTGCTGTAATTTTTCTAACTAGAGTAAATAAAATGACATTATTAATTTTCATAAAATAATCATACTCAACTATTATTCTAAAAAGATCATTTAATGATTTACATTTCATTTTTGAGAAATAAGTTTTTTTATTTCAAAAAGATTATCTACTACTATGAAACTATTTTCATAATTCTAAAAGATTATCTGCTATTATGAAATTATTTTTAGAATTTTAATTTAAAGCATCATCTAACCAGCCAAAAACTTAATATTTATTTATCTTGTTGTATTGTATGGTTTGTACAACAAAAAGTGAAGCAAAAACAGAACTAAACGAAGACAGACGCAAAAAGTTATTAAGCTGACCCAAAACTAAATTTGGTGCATATTTTGTAAACATTCCCAACCACAATACTTCCTCTTGACAGCTCATACTTCTCGTATGGTAATGGACATCATGTGAGAGAGAGGTGTGATTTCAACTAATAGTTGATATAGTCTAATTATAAGTATACACATAGTTTCTAACTAAAAAATTAAAAATAATAATAAATAAGAAACGAGGTAGGGTGACGGGATTTACTTTTAAAAAAACACGGTTTACCTTACCTGATTTTGTAATTACAAATGATTTATGCAAGGGTAAGTTGGATCACCTACTTACCTGTCAGTAATTAGAGTTATCATACTTGAGTCTTACGATAATTTGCTATCATCACCACTATATGCTTTTATTTATAAATCATATTGTTATATTTGGGAGAACCTAATAGACTAACTAGCTTAAATTTGAAATTAAATTTTTTTTAGTTAAAATTATAAATTAAATTTTTTCCGATTTCAAATTCGGAACACCAAATCAAACTATATCTTGCAACTGATGCAGAATGAGTGAACTAATTTGTCACATAAGTCACTGAACCCTAAGTTGTACCAACTCTTTGATAGAATGCTTGAATCACTAAAATGCTTAGTATACCAGAGATGTTTTACTAGGAAAAACCTTGGAGCTGCTAGGTGCTCACCCTCCCAATCCACGTCTCACACTTTGCACACACCCTACCTTAACACAAGTGCGCACAACACTCCCCCTGTCTCCAACACTCTTACTTGAACCAACAAAACTTTTAACTCACCATTACATCAATAAGAATGGAAACAATAGATGCTCAAAGCTGGAACGCTAGGCCCGTTTGGCAACTACAGTTATTTTGTGCTTTTGCTCTAATCCAAAACAAGAGTAATGTTTTTGTTTTAGAGTGTGTTCAATACTATTTCGAAGCTTGTTTGGTAACGTAATTTTGTTACAAGATTTTTAAAAGTAAAAAATATTACAGCATGTTTGGTAAAAAGTGTTGCAAGTTTGAAATTTTGAATGGGTAGTTAAAAATATTATTTTAGAATATATTGTGTGTATATATATATATATATTGAGCAGTGTTTTGCTATAGTGTGAAAGCAAACAAAAACATCATTTTGATGTTTTCGATTTTGGCTTCAATTTTGAAAACGCTTCAATATTATTCAAATGACAGCAAATATTACCAAATATGTTTCGTGCTTTTATTTCGCTACAATATACTAACAAAAAAAAAAACACACACACACACAAAGCAAAAGTATTAGCCAAACAACCCAGGCACGAGACATAAAATCAGCTAAGTGTAATACATCACTACCAAGTCTAAAAGGTCAAAATGAGACGTGACCTTGGTTTGAGCTCTTTTCTGATATGAAAAACCTGCTCAATAATAAACTTGCTCGGATAATTACCATTGCAGTAAGAGCAAGACTACCAAACCATTGGAGGCTTTTATTCAAAGGCAAAATAAATAAATTTGTTTTTCTTTTTCCAAAATAAGCAATCAGAGAAATTCATAAAAACAAAAAGTTCCATTAATGCAGGGAGGGAAACGAAAAAAATTGATAGCACTAACTTTGTTAGTTATGTTTGGTGACACAAATCATTCTCTCTTTCTTTGCTTTTCCTTTTCTAAATTCAATGCTTGATTTATATGATGACCAACTAACAAATTGCCAAATCAAGAAACAAGGTGCCTTTTTATTTACAATATGCAGTATTTTGTAATTTGCATCCTTAAAAAAAAAAAAATTAATAATAAAAAAAAGAGTTGTGGAGAACCCATAGTCAGCATTCAATAGTCCAACGAATAACCACCGTCTGTTTTCAAACCTGAGGCCTGGAGAGGGAGAGGGCCACATGCACTACAAAATATTTTCTAATATCTATGATCTATATATAAATATAATAATATATGCAGCATTTCAACTACTAATCACCTCTATTTTGGTAAACTAAATCTTAATTTTTATGGTGTGGATATCTATATATATATATATTACCACACATTTTTATTGAAATGGCCAATATCCACTCAAAACAAAGGTGCCCTCAGAGCTACCCCTTTTCTCAGCTTTTGCCTCTTGAGTGATGACAATTTTATGTCATCTTCGTCGTCTATAGATTTGATGTCGACTTTATTCATGTGGGATAAAGACGAGGATGGTGAATTGTTACTTCCATCTTTCTCGTTGCCAGCATTGTTATGCTCATGTTTAGGTTCTACCTTGTGTTCACCTCTAAATATAGCAGTAACCTATCAATAATTAAAATAGAAGATCATTAATTCAAGAAGCATGCAATTATATTAAGAGTATCTCCTTAAAGGAGTAGAGCAAAGTATTTTTCTAACGAAAAATAATTAACATAGTAAAATTTTTAATCAAATAGGGAACCAAACATCGAAATCCATGTTTGGGTGTCACGTGCACTATCTAACGAAAATGAACCATTCGATTCTGATACCGTTAAAATTTCACTATGCATATCAATGTTCTTTACTAATTACTAAAATCCAAGTTTTAAAATACTGCATTGTGACATTAAGTCCTTAAGTGGCTCAATATGCAAATTTTTTGAGTGAAGAAACATGTTTTACTCTTTGTTTCAATCATATATATATATATTTAGAGAGAGAGAGAGAGAGACCTTGCATGCTATACTGCAATAGAGTGAAGAGTCTTGCAGACTCCTTTTGCAGACCTTGCAACTGTGCTGATCTCTTGAATTATGTTGTTGATAAGGTGGTTGTGTTTGTTGTTGAGGCCTTTGCTTCAAGAATATCACTTTAGCTTTATTTGTCTGATATGACTATCAACCAAAAAATAATAATTAAGGTGAGATATATATATATATATATATATATATATATATATATATATGGTGACCAATGTTTTTAGGTACTAATTAAGTGGCCTTCTCATTAAACTAAAATAAAAATTCATTGGATCAATTGAGCAATGTTTAGTTTGTATGAAATGGATATTAATTCCCCTCTCATATGGGGGCTTGATTATACATTCATTTTTTCAATACAACGTACTAATTACCTTATAATTAATATATATATTTGGTTTGTAAATTTAACGATAGAGAGTAAAAGAACTCTACGAGATAGTTTAATGGTAAAGACTCTCACCTCATGAAAGTAGAGAGTTTGAATCCCTTTAGAGAGACCCAACACCACTATCATTGACCAAAAAAGGAGATGAGATTTAAACCCATTTTCTCTCAAATTTCTCTCATTTTTTTTTTAGCAGTTACCAAATAAAATCATAATACTAGGGCGTGAAAACATTTACAATTTAAATTAAAAAAGAGTAATGATAAATAGTCAAATATTAATTTTATGTAAGTAAAGATTGATGTTATCATCATTACATCAATGACATGTGATGATGGCAACCATCACTTACATAAATCGGTCGAATTTTTGAACTTCAAATCATTATTATCCATTAAAATATTATTTCTTTTGTCTTTGTCTCTATTTGTTTTATGTCCAAAAAAACATGTTTGGAGTTTAAAAGTGAATGTAGAAAGCAGATTGTATGTTTCTCAAAATATCCTTAGCTTGGAAAAAAAACAAAAAACTCAATTAACATGAACTATTGAACTTTAAATGAGAAGTTTTGGAAAAGATTTGAGACCGAGGATTATAAACATATCCTCTGCAATGGGATCATTCTACAATTATGCAATATTCCAATATATATATATATATATATATATATATATATATATCAAAATTAGGAAAAACAGTAAATATATATAAGATGGTTGAAGCTAGCTAATCACATACCTGAATGCCAGAACAATTGAAGAGCTTGCACAAGTCATGCCGATTGATCACTTCGCAATATACATATTTCCTAATCTATATATCACATATATATAATTATACACCATATTAGTCATAGTCTTATATGTTACTATAAATCTAACTTTTAAAAACAAACAAAACCATGCATATATATATGCCAATATATGTATACAAATTAATAAATAATTAACCTTAACATATTTGTGACGTGCATGAGCAGGTTTAATACAATTCTGACACAAAGATGCAACACAATCTATACAAAAACGATCCAATTTGTTTCGATGATCGATACACGTATCAAAATATGTGGTACCATACATAGCCCTCAGCCATGGAGGCACCTCTACACAACTTGTCTGCAAAAACCCATCATATAGTCAGTTAATATATATATATATATATATATATATATATATATCATATAAATAGTTAGTTTATATATAATATATATATATAAATATATGAACAGAAAACAAAACTGAAGGCGGAAATGATAGGGAAAGGCAGTGTGAATTACTTCATTGTTGAGTGCTTGA